ATTCCATAGTGTTGCTAAGTGATGCATTCCAGAGTTCCTGACTGTTACTTCTGTTACTGCCAGTGGTGTAACTGAAGCACCATTGGCCTCTTTACGCAATGGCTAATACCCACGTTTATTATATGCAGTTTGGGACTCAGATTTATGAATATTTTGTGGGGCTTTATCAGTGCTTCCAGAAATTCTGGAGTGTCACTGTTACAGGCTTTTTCCTTAAGAAGAAGAAAGAACACATACCTACAGTGGAAGATATTTTTCACAAAGAAAAGATTGTGATGCATGGCCACATGCTGAAGGATAAATCTCTGGCCATTGAGAAGAGAGCTGAAGCTGCCTACAGAATCGGACTGCTGGCCTTCACAGGTACTGATTGAACCAGCTGTGCTAAAATAGGCGTTTCCAATTTTTTTTTTTGCTTCTCCTAACATTGTTAGTGATTTTCATTTCTTTAGTCTTAAAATTCCAATACCATTTCCTTTGCCTATATTATTAGTTTTTTGTCTTTGTACCACCAAATATATTTATTATTAATTATTTTCTCCTCAAGGATCTCACTTTAAAAGTGTGTCCTTCAAATAAATTTACTTGATTAGGAATTAAGAATTTTCCCACTTTTTAAAATTATAAATATACATATTGAAATTGCCTATCAAAGTTCTCATTATCATAAAAAAGCAAGGAATCTATACTGAGTTAATATATTCCAACCTAGTGATATGATAGCAACACAGAGTAACACTACTTGATCCTTTATTTTTATGGTGTAAAAATACATTACACAAAAATTTGTTTGGAAAAATCAATGAAGAACTTAATACTCTTAAAACATCTACCAGGGAAGCCAATAGATATATCAAGGAAAAGTAACTATTAATGTATTGTTCACTGGAAAATTAAGGGGTATTCCATTTAAACACGTATCACTCTAATGACTGTCAGAGCCAAACTTGCTCCACTTTTTTTTCCCCTAATTTCAGGATACGTAATGAACTTTCACAGCTAGTCTTCAATAACATGTCTCGGAATTAGAAGCCTTTCTTGGTTGTTACAAGATAGATTGATTTTTTTTTATGAACAGGGAAAATTAGTTACTTAGGTAGTTTGATAGATTAAATCTTTCAAAAAATGGTGTCCGTGAGAGAAAACATTTACTCTTTCCTAGGTGCCAGAATAGTTGAGAACTACCAGCATGGCAGAAAACTCAGAGCTCCCACGTAATGCAAGTCACACCCAGCACGAGGCAGGCTCCGTGTCTTGTACAGCTGTATTCACCATTTGTGGAAGAGCTGGTTAATTATAAAAAGATCAGAATCCTCTAACTTGATGTTATTTAGCCTTAGCTGTACTGGTAAGGAAGAGAAAGGGCTTATGTCCAGGCTTTAGCTAAAGCTTTAACATTGAATAGAATATTCTTGGGGCTATGGGGCTGTGGTAAAGCAGATAAAAGAAATCCAAGCCAGTCAAAACTCCAGTGGCTAGAACCTTGCCAACTAGGTCAGCTACTCCTCACCATCTAAATAGGCTTCATTTAATGACTTCTTGTCTAGTACTTTTTTGAAGTTTGAGTTTTGAACCAGGAAGATCTGGGGTTTGGGTATATGATGCAAGTAGAGTTTAGGACCAGGTTGAGTCAGTAACTAAAGTAAGGAAAACCTTGTAAAGTCACATTAGTCCCAGATCTGTGAAAGAATTGTGGAAGGAGAATGGAATAGCAACAGACAACTCATGAAAAACCTCTCTTACCAGTTAAACCCTGGCTTGACAACTCAGCCTTTGAGTTTTCCCTTTGTTTGCTCTAATGCTCTGGTGTATTTTCATGTACTAAAGATAGGGAATCAGGAACGAGACCATGAGGGAGATTTGCTAGGTGAACACAACCAGGCTTGATTCACCTTGAAATACTGGCTCTAGGTACCCGAGTAAAAGAAAGAGAGGAGGCTTCGGTAGGCAGGGACTTTTCAGTGCTTTTCATATTACTCCTTGTTTATCAACAAACACTCTCATCTTCACAGCAGCGCAGGAGGTGGGAGAAAAGAAAGAGGAGAATTCAAAGAATCCAAAGTGTCAGCATATAGACAGGAGCAAACGTATGAACACATGAGCACTAAAATGTCACTAGCTACTAGATATGCCAAATACTTCTGGAACCGCACATGCTTGTTTTACAGGAGGACCAACTGCCGGGAGATGTGCAGCTGAGCACATGAAACAAGTAGCACACTTGTTGCAAAATCAAAAGATGGTACCAGAAGTGACCGTCCTACTGCTCCAGAGTGTAGCATGTTGGTGTTACTTAAACCCTGTCAGCCAGAGAAGAGCCAAAAATCTGCAGCTTATTCCTATTCTCATTGATTTTTTTGAGAGCAGACTTGAGTCTACCATCCAAAGTGAAATCAATAGGCACCTCCTTGTTAAGTTTTGGACTTGCTGTGTCCTCTCTGTCATGGCATGCAATAACTTGTCTTGCATGAAGGAGCTTAAAGACTGCAGTACTCTAAAATATCATTTGCAAATGTTGGCTAATGAGAATTGGTCTGAGTGGCCTGAGAATTTTGCAGAGGTGCTGTATTTCCTCATCGGTTTTCACAGGAATTAATTTCTCTAAATCCAGTTACACGATGCCACTGACTGCACCATTGTATTGCCCTGGAACACTGAGATAAATAATAAAAGTCATTATGTCATTCTTCACCGTTTTCTTTTTACATAGTTGAATAATTCTATGTAAATTTTCATAGTTACTGTAATAATCACCCTTATGAAATGCAGTTTAAAATGGCTTTATCAAAATTAAGTTCATAAAATGGAAAGTCACTGGAAGATGCATTATCTGTATCACTCTTAGGAGCAATGGTGTGATTTGGGGGGCTACTAGATAATGTTAAGCCATGGCACCCAGAAATGCACAGGCTAACCCAATGTTACTAGAGGACACTGTTGTAACTGCCCTCACCCCCTCCCATATCCTTCCCATATCCTTTCAGACCTATTTCAGCGCTGGCAGCTCCACCTGCCATGTCTTTGACAGAGTTGGTTTTCTGACTACAAGAATATCTTGTTGCCCATCAGGCCGCTGGAAGTTCGGGGGAATGAACACTCATTAGGAGCAGCCCTCAACTTCACTGGCATAACCCTGGACGGAGATGGGAGTGCCATGTATACAGACACCTAAAGACAGCCTAAAATTAGGCTCTAGAATTTCCATACAGATTACCACTCCATTTTGTGTGTTAGAGAATATGTAACAGAAAACCTGCACTTGAATTTGTGTTGCAGTCTCCTTAAAAGCTTCATTATAAAGTTTTATGAAAAAGTACCTAAACAACATATGCATGTTTGTTTCTGCAACTACACTAACATGTCTCTAGCTTATGTGCAGCCATCATAGATGGAACGATGTCCTTTCATCTGTCACAAACTTGCTTTGAGCCGAGCTAGTGTGATGCTTCCACCTTTCACCAAGGGGCCTATTTAAAAAGTGGCGTAGGTCTGAGATCCTTGCTTGTATTTATTACAGGAATGTTTTTAAGGATGCTGATCATATCACATGGACTCATGAGCATCTCAGGGGAAATTTTCTCAGAACTTAAATCAGGAAAAGTTGTGTTTGAGTAACCACATATTTTCATCCTTTGTGGATTTTTTTCATTGTATACAATTTCTAAAATTAGAATCCAGTTTATAGTGGTAGATGAAGGGCTGGAAATCAAAAATCCCACTCTAGAGACTTGAGTCAGTCAAATTATTTTTTAAGTGGTTTTTAAATTTTAATCTTTTCTCAAAGTTATACATGAACATAATTTAAAAAGTCAAATAGTGCGAGGCTGTGAGGAAAAATAGTAGTGTCCAAATTCCCTTCTGATTCACACCCCCAGGTGACCATTTAAATTTTTTTGGCTGTTTTTTCCCAATATTTATTTACCTCCATATTTCTAAATAGTTTATATACATCACTAATTCCTTTTTTTAGGTATTTTCCTTTTCACTTATTAATAGGACAATAAGAACAGAGACGTTCATATATACATATATATATTTTTTATTAAGGTATCGTTGATATACAATCTTATGCTCAGGTTTCACTCACATGAGCAACACTGTGGTTACTACATTCCCCCCATTATCAAGTCCCCCCCACACACCCCATTACCATCACTGTCCATTGGCACGGTAAGATGCTACAGTCACTACTTGTCTTCCCTGTGCTGTACTCCCTCCCCCGTGCCCCCCCTACATTATGTGCACTGATCATAAGGCCCCTTAATCCCCTTATCCCTCCCCACCCATCCTCCCCAACCCCTTCCCTTTGGTGACCACTAGTCCATTCTTGGATTGAGTCTGCTGCTGTTTTGGACCTTCAGTTTTTGCTTTGTTGCTATACTCCATAGATATATAACAACAATACAATATATAAAATATAAAATCATTTGGTACTTGTCTTTCTCCTCCTGGCTTATTTCACTGAGCATAATGCCCTCTAGCTCCATCCATGTTGTTGCGAATGGTTGGATTTATTTTCTTAAGAACTGAGACTTTTAACACTGCTTATGTCCACTTGCCCCCATCTTCCTCACTTAATATAACTGTGCCACAATTGTTGATTAAAATATGATTATCTCAGTATTTTTCATGACTACTCATATCATGTTGAGAACAGGGACTGTGGGCTTAGACAGAGTAGGGTAAAAGCCTTTGGAAAAAGCAAAGTAAGATAATTACAGTCAGAACAATGTGGCAATGACATCTTTATTCTTCACTTGCATGATCATTTGAGTTCAGCCTGTCCTTGACCCTGGCTGCCCCGTGTGTGCCCTCACACCCCGGAAGGAAAGAGCTGAGCTGAGCACATTGCTTAGTTTTCACCAAAGTCTCCAATCAGGTAGGTCACTCACTTCTGCTGAAACCAGGAGTATTCAGCTAGTGGAGCTCCCTATTCCTGGAAGAAAACATTGCATTTAGAAAAGCAGCAGCTTCTACTGTATCTTTCCAGAGGTATTCTATCTACTTACAAGAAAATATATATCCCTTTTCTTATAGTAACATTTTATACACACAAATACTTTATCTTGGTTTGGTTTTATATCTTATTCATTCTTTTCTACTGCTTTGGAGGTCATTCCATTGTATGACTGTACTATAATTTATATAACCAGGCCTGCAGTGTGGACATTTAGATTATTTCCAATCTTTAGTTGTTCAAAGTTGTAAAGAATAACCTTAAATATATGTCATTTCACACATGTGAGTATATACGTGGAATAATTTCTAGAAATGGAGTTGCTTAACATTTGTTTTTGTTTTCTTCTGTACCCTTTATTGTCCCTTGTCCCTCATCTTCTCTTGATTCTTTAGCTCTCTTCAGTGAGACTCTTTTCTGGCTCATTTTAATAGTTATTTTAATGTCATCTTAATAATTAACATTTAATCAGAAACTGCTGAGGCCTCTCTTCTGACAATGTTTAGAGAAACTTTAGTCAACATTTCATCTACAGAAGGGTAGCTTGTAAGGCAGCCTAGCCATATTGTGCTATTCAAAGTCCCTTTTGGTCTCTGGCACACATCTAAATTGAAGGTGGTAAAACATAAGGTTCATCATATTTAGACGCTGAGGCATCTTTATGCTAAGCTTTGAATTCAAAACTGGTTTACCTAAGTTTTAACAATAGTTAACATTTTTTTCCTTTGTCTTCCCTTTTAAGTTCATTTTCCCCCAATATTTGGGTTCTCCTAGAAGCAAATCTGAGGTAAGAATATGAAGGCAAGGACTTTTTGGGGAGATGACCTCAGGAACTAGCAACTGGAAAGGGAAGAAGGTCAACAAAAGATGTGTTGGCAAGAAAGTTACGCTGGAACCAGGCAAATGGCATTTGTAATCTTCAGGAACCGCTCTGGTGATACGCAACACACAGGCTTCAGTCATCTCATCCAGAGGTCCCAGGTGCTCAGATACTTACTTACACACAATTCCTATCCTTGCTGGTTGACCTAATGACCTAATTATAGCTAAAACCTAAAATTCAGCTGAGATATCTTGAAGAAGACCGGGTAGGCAGGCACCAGTTTTCTAAACAAAGCAAAGGTTGCAAGGGTACTAAGGCAGTGCAGTGGACATCTACTGATTCCTGGCTAACTAGAATCTATTCTTTCTTCTCGTAACACTTCAGTTTCTTTTGAGGGACTATCTTGCCCATGTTGTAGTCTTAAGAAGACTCAACCAAGGTACCCTGCCCTCCCAAGAACTGGTAACATAAGCCAGGCTATAACAATCTTACTATCTCAGGGAACTCTGAATCTTGTGCAAAATGGGGAGAAAAATCATTTCGGAGTCAGCACTAAGACAATGTTGATTAGCACCTGTTAACAGGACACCCAGAGCTGCTCTGGTGTTTTCTCCCTTAGAACCATCATATGCTTTCAATGAATTCCATTTTTGCTTTGTTAACCATATTTATCTTTACTTCTAACAAAGAACCCAGAGAAAGGCAAGAAGAAATATGACATGTTCAAGAACTTTAGAGCACTTTTTTCCCATCTTTTAGTAAGGTTTTAGTTTTCTTCACATATCCCTCTCACCACCCCTCACACACCCACTGTTTTTAAACTTGTTTATACTGATATAGAGAAAAGCAATTAATTTAGGATTATTATTTTTAAATCCCACTACTTGATTTGTTTCCAGTTGCTCCTGGATTTTCTTATGTGAATGAGTTCTCTTTCCTTCCCCTAATTATCTTCTGTATTTGGTTCTATTGCACCAAACTGAGACCTCAAAAAAGAATTTGTAATAATTGTGGTCCATTCTCTAGCTCTTGGTGTTACAACCATTTCTAAGCTTTATAGGTAGAGAGCTTCGATCAGGTTAAAATTTCTTCTTTTTGTAGCTTAGGTGTTGACTTTTATTAATGCTATTTTATTATCTATTAAGATTACGTGTTTCTCCCCCCTTTAACATGCAGAATTTCAGGTGTTTATTAATATCGAAACAGCCCTACATCCCTGGGATAAACCCCAACTTGGTCACTATGTTTTATCTTCTAGTATATAACCAGGTTAAATTTGCTACTTAGGATTTTTCCTTCTGTGTTACTAGGCCTCTAGTGTCCCCCACCTCAACCCTGGTCACTTTGCAGTATGTTATGATAACCTTACACAAGCTAATTCAGTCTAATCCAGGCTTCACACGTTCTCCAAATGATTTTTAATCTTTTGCCATTTTCCTTAAAGAAGCTCGACTGCATTTTTTAAGTGAACTCCAAAGAACTTAGAGACTCTAACTTGCCAAGCTTGATTAACCTCTGACCCTGCCTCCAAGGCACTCTGACTGGGGTGTTCTGACATTTGATACCTAATTGAAAATCAGACTCCTCATCTAAAGGAAATTCTTCCGAATTCCCCATCAACTAGGATCACAGTTCCCAGGTGCTAAAACCTTAAAATCCGTCACCCCATTTCCTCTTGAAACCCAATCCCAAAGCAACCCCAAGATCCCTAAGAAACGAATCTACCTCAAACTAAAATTTTACAATTTTACTTAATTGGAAGTAAATGGTAGATACTTTACCTGATTTCTTTCACTCCATATCTGAGATTCACTCATATTGTGCATAGCAGTTACTCACTTCTTATTGCTGAGTAGTATTCATGTGAATTTGTTTATCCATTAACTTGCTGATGGGACATCGGCTATTACAAATAAAGCCATGAAAATCTGTGGACCGGTATTCCGGTGTTGCTTTCATTTCTCTTAGGTAAATAGCTAGCAGTGGAATAGCTGAATCATTTGGAATGTGTATGTTCAACTTCTAAGAAATTGCTGAACATTTTCAGAGCATTTGTAGCACTTAACATCGCCACTAGAACTGCAGCAGAGTTCTAGGCGCTTCACAGCCTTGACACTTCGTATAGTCTCATTTTTCTTTTCTAAACTTTGCCATTCTGATGGATACATAATGTCTCACTGTATGTTTAATTTGCACTTCCCTGACTGACTATGACATCTTTTCATGTGCTTATTTGCCATCTGAATGTATTATTTTTTGGTGAAGTGTCCAAATTTTGCCCCCATTTTAAAAATTAGGTTGTCTACTACTTATTGAACTTTAAGAGTTCTTCATAAATACAAATCCTTTGTTGATTAGGCAAATATTTTTTCCCAGTCTCTGGTTTGTCTTTTTATTATCTTAAGAGCCTTCCTAAGAGAAGTTTTTGGTTTTACAAAGTTCAGTTTACTGATATAATTCATGCTTTTTGTGTCCTATTTGAGAAATCTTTGCCAAATTCAATATCACTAAGACTTTTACCCCTAGATTTTCTGCTAGAAGATTAATAGTTTCTGAGTCTTCCACTTCGGAATCTTCACCGGTTTCCTCTTCAGAATCAAATTCAAATTCTTGACTATCTGGTGATAGCTCTTACATTGTATTTTAAAATCATCCATTTCCTCTCCTCTTTTGCTCCCCACCACTAAATCCTGGCAATCCAGTTGTGGCATTTCGCAGAAATAGTTTCTCTTTGCCAAATCATCCTATTCTACTTAGCTCTTCTGTTTCTTCCTAACAGCCTCCAGCTGATTCCCCTCTCCCTCAACCTAGAATATTCTTTCTTAAATTTTTTATTGTGGTCAAAAGCACATAACATAAAACTTATCTCTTCTTCAATTCTATCTTCAGGCTAGCGCCCCATATCTAAAACATACAGAGCTGTACTAATACAGTAGCCAATAACCTCATGTAGCTACTTAAATATAAATGAAAATTTCAGTTCCTTATTCACACTAGCCAGATTTCAACTGCTCAATAGCCACATACTGCTGATAATCATTCTGGATTAGCACAGGTATTTCCAACATCTCAGAGTTTTATTGGACAATGTTATAAATTACTAATAGCTTCTAGCTTTGAAGCATCTAGTTCAGGCACTCTAGTAAAGGATTTAATCCTCACAATAATATCAAGGTAGAGTTTATCTTGATGTTAAAGAAAACTGAATTCTATAAGGTTAAATAACTTGCCTAAACTAATCCTTTAAATCCTGGCATTGCCCTTCATTGCCAATTCATATTCTGGTACTTGTATGCTTCTCACAGAACATATTCAATCCCAAAGCTATATACTTTGCAATTTCCTTCTGCCCTTCTCTTCTTTCAAAACACTACGTAAAAGAAAGCCCTAATTTCACCATACTCTTATTTCTTATTCCTTCATTATATACTGTACTACAACATATGTGAAATCTGTGAACAGAAAGTTTCAAAACCCTTAGTCTTACATCTTTTAATTGGATTTTCACGTGCCCCACCCCCCTAGTTTACTATCACCATCACCTATTATTTTAAGCTTCCAAGAAGAGTCTGATCAAGCCAGACAGCCAAGCCTTTACTTAGCTAATCAGATCCATTCAGGGAGCCTTTGAAACCAGATTCTCAATACTCCATTACAAAAACTTCTCAGTAAGAGTATCCGGGCACTACAGACTGGAAATCAATAGTCCCTACAGTGAGCATGAGGTACAACCAGATTTAGGAGTAAGACCTTAATTATCTCACTCTAAAGATATATAAATTAATTTTCTTCTTGTTTCTTCCAAGATAGCAGAGGAATAGAAAGACAACAATATAAAACCACAGATATAGATAAATTTTCCATGTAGGCTCTTTGTACTTTATCCTTCTAAGACATATGCAATCCTCAATAGGAGACTGGTTTATTTATCATATACACAAGTCATGTCTGACAACTGAGAAAATGCTACTTACATAAAACATCATAGATTAAAAATACATAGTATTTGTATTTTAATACAACAGTGTCCCAGGAATCAAACAAGGAAGTTTAATCCCAAGTTTACATTACATTATTTGTTCTGCTACAAAGAACTATGGTCAAGGTAAACTTTGGCAGTGTATTTCTCAAGAGTCAAATATTAATGAATTTCACATACACGGTTTTCCATCTGTAGAGGAAGATACAGTTTCTTCAGCACATGTACCAATTTCTGAGTCTTCCACTTCGGAATCTTCACCGGTTTCCTCTTCAGAATCAAATTCAAATTCTTGACTATCTGGTGATTCAAAGTTATCCAGAGGTTCACCATTCAGTCGCTGTTAAAGAATAAACCAATAACTTATTTTAAAAGCTTTAAAATCCAAGGTTATTATGAGTATGTTGACTTCAATGTTGTAATAAAATTCTTTTCATTATGGCTCTTGAATTCACTTAGTCAATCAAGTGTCATATCAAAGTCTCTACCATGATAGATCATATTTTAGCAAAGTCACAGTGCTTAACAATTTGCTCATTTTTTAAAAGCACTGAGTTGCTTTCAGAGTACAACTAAAATCAGTACTTCTCAGACTATCTACAGTAAAGATCGAGTTGTCTAATTCACATTTGCTGTGGACCAACACTTTCATGGCAGTTAAGAAAGCTACTGTACTTTCAAATGGAAACTGCGAACATTAATTCTGCTAGAGCCCTAATAGGCAAGCAATTCAGTGTAAGAGAAGTTTTGATTCGAATGATTTGTTTCCCATCAGCAACACAATTTTCTGCAAACATGAGTAAGTTTAAGACCTATTATTTAGGCCAAGACTGGTAAAGTACCAGTCATTAGACTAATTCTTATCAACACATTAGCTACTTCTAAATTTTAAAAAAAGGCCATCAAAGTTATTTAGTACACCTATTAGCAGTTTGATAAATGACAGTAATGTCATGCTGGCATTAAATTAAGAACTGTCTAAAATTTGTCAACTATGAAATATAATTTTCTGTATTTTTCAGGTATAAGTAAATTGCCTTTTATATCTCTTAGAAGAAAATAGATGTTCTTTGGCTTCATAATAATAAATAATATCTAGCAGTTACTGGGCTCTTACTATGTAAAGGCACACTTTCATTTACGAAAACTCATAACAAGCCTACAAAGCAGATACTATGATTCCCATTTATAAATGAGGAAAATGAAGCTCTGACAGGATAAATAACCTGCCTGACTCAACAAACTTAATGGTGCTGGAGAGGGAACTAAGACTCAAAACCAAGAAATCTGGATTCCAAAGGCCCAAACATTTACTGATCACACTATTGACTCAGTATTATAGAAAAATAGATGACTTTCAATCAGGTGAATGTTAAAATACTTACCTCTATTACTTCTGCCATATATTGTACGTGTTCTGCTACTTCTGCCAATTCTTTATTCTCCTTCTCCAGGCGGGCAATTTCATTGTCCTTTTCTTCAATTTCTTTATGAAGCTACATGAATAAATAAGGTTTAGCATTCCATAGATTGGCTACGCTACACCAACTTATTTGCCTCTAAGTATATAACTAGTAGACACATTTAGACAAATTACCTAACAAAGATCCTATTTTTAGTTTTCAACATAAGCTTCCTTTTGTATAATACTTCTGTAACAGAGTTGCTTCTATAATTAAACTTTTTTTAGACCAATATTAAAGCTAGTTTATAGAGCTCTAACCAAATATGCAAAGCAGCAGAAGGAAAATAATCCTGGAATGTTAAAAAAAAATGCCACAAATTATACTGAGTACATACTTTCTCATTTTCTTTAAGTGCTTCATAGAGAGCCTTCCTCCGTTTTTCTGCCACTTCTTTCCAATATTGAGAGGATGGATTTTCTAAAGTAAATTAATATATTACATGTTAGCTTTGAAAACCATTACTGTTATATGCTGCTGTAAAAACCCAATACTTTCTCTTATTAAAAAATTTATAAACCAGAGAGGGGAAAAAAGATGGTGAATAGGCAGGGCAAGGCGGAAACCTCTCACACACACACCAAGGAAGCAACTACAGCATATACGACGAAACCTGAAAACAACTGAAGACTGCACAACAGACCACCTGCACCTGGGGAAGAAGAGAAGACCACACAGACATGGGTGAAGTGGCAGAGCTGTGATCCAGTGGACACAAGTCCTTCCCCCATCCCAGCCCAGAGGCAGGAGAAAGAGGAATGGAGTGGGGAGGGGACAGGCATTCAGATGATCAGCACACTTGGCCTGGAGATCTGCTCTGGGAACATCAGTCCACAATGCATCAGGCTTTGGTGACTACCAGGGCTGAACACCAGGGAGAACTGGAGCACTCTGGGAGGCTGAGACCCCAGCCGCTTCTGTAGGACAGCATGCTCTGCTGGTCCCACAGAGACCCAAAACAGAGGTGGCAATTTAAAAGATGTGCCAGCTGTATGAGAGGTGCCAGAGGGGTGAAGGTTGGACAGAGCTCTCTCCTTAGAAGAAAGGGCAGGTGGACAGTATCTCCCCAACCCTCCCTCCATCCAACAGATCGGGCACTCTTAGGAGCCCCCAGATGCTCCACCTCCCTCACTGGCTGCTCAGCCCCAAGGTACTGCCCTGTGTACCACAGGTGTGCCAGCCCACTTGGCACAGCTGCATCACACTTTGCTGCTTGGCAGGCAGAGGGAGGCTTTCCCAGCTTTCTCAGCCCAAGTAGGTGTCTACAGGTGCCAGCTCTAAGCACTCCATCCTCCCCATGGATGGCCAAGCCTGGTGTTGCATGTATCGTGGCTGCTAGGGCTCACCCACATGACTCACTGCAGTAGCTGTGCACTGCTGACAGCACAACTTGCTGCCACAGCACTCCCGCACACCCTGCCACTGTGGGAATCCCAGTGCAATGCACCCAACCTGTTAACCCAGCAGCCCTGACATTGCTGCAGGGCAGGAAGAGGGCAGCCTACCAACAATGATCCCAGCAGAAGCCACTACTCTGGTCTTTGTGATCCAGACAGCCTCAGTGGACTGAGATAAACCACTGCCAGCAGACAGAAAGCAGAAAGGTGGCCACACCCATTGCCCACCAACAGCAACTGGGGCTACACCACAAAGGAGTACCGGGCACTAGAGAGGAAAGAGTCTTAAGCTTTTAGGCACCACAGGGCACCTTCCTCATAAAACCATTACTCTCTAGACCAAGAAGCATAGCAGAACCATCTAATACAAAGGAAGAAACAGTAGCCTTGACAAATGAGGAGGCAGAGGAATATGACACAAACAAAAGTACAGTTTAAGACACCAGAAAGAGGGCTAAATGAAAAGGAGATCATCAGTCTTCTTGATTAACATTTCAAAGTAGCAGCCATAAATATGCTCATTGATTTGCAGGAAAGTATTGAAGATGTCAGGGAGAACTTCAACAAAAAGATACAAGACCTGAAAAAGAGCCACTCAGAGCTGAAGAAACAGTTACTGAAATGAAATACAGACAGAGAAAACGAATAGACTGTTGCAAGTAGAGCAGACAATCAATGAGATGGAAATTAGAGAACAGGAAAAGGAAGCTGAGGAACAGAGAGAAAAATGATCTCTAGGAATGAAAGAATGGTAAGAGAGCCATGTGACCAATCCAAATGAAACAATATTCATATATGGGGTACCAGAAGGAGAAGAGAGAGACAAAAGGATAGAACATCTCTTTGAGGAAATAACTGGTCAAAACATCCCCTACAAGAGGGGTTGGGGGGAGGAAATAGACACTCAGGGCATGGAAGCACAGAGTTCCTAACAAAAGAGACACCAAGAAGACAACATCAAAATATATAATAATTAAAATGACAAAGAATAAGGATAAGTAACGAGTTCTGAAAGCAGCCAGGGACAGAAAAACATCACTTATAAGGGAAACCCTATTCTGCTAGACTTGCCAGCAGAAACTTTACAGGCCAGACAGGAGTGGCATCAAGTATTTGATGTACTGAAACAACCAAGAATTCTCTACCCACAAAGATTATCATTCAAATGTGAAGCAGAGCTTAAAACAATTCCCTGATGAATAAAGGCTCAAGGAATTCATAATTACTAAAGCAGCATTACAAAATGTTAAAGGGCTTGCTGTATTTGGAAATGTTCCTATGTTCCTAAGGCTCAATAGTTTACACCAGTGAAAATAAAACCACAGTAAAGTAATTGCTTACCAAGCAAGTATGAAATTAAAACAGGAGTAATAAAACCAACTATACACAAAATCAGACAAGGGATACACAAAAAGTGTAGATGACATCTAACACTAAGTGTGAAGGAAGAAGAAAAAGAAAAAAGATAAACTTTTAGATTGTGTTTCAAACAGAGCAATCATCAACTTAATATGGACTTTTATATAGTCAAGAAGCTATCATTGAACCTTATGGTAACCACAGACCAAAAGCTTTAATAGATAAAAAGTTAAAAAAGAGAAACCCAATCACAACACTTAAGAAAACCATCAAATAACAAGAGAAGAGTATAAGCAAGGACTAGAGGAACTACAAAAACCAGAAAACAATTAACAAAATAGCACTAAGTACATACTTAACAATAATTACCTTAAATGTAAATGAGTACCAATTAAAAGAGTGGCAGAGTGGATAAAGAAACAAGACCCATCTATCTGCTGCCTACAAGAAACTCACTTCAGATGCAACGATATACAGACTAAGTGAAGGGATGGAAAAAAGATATTTCATGCAAACAACAGGGAAAAAAAGGAGTAGCAGTACTTATATCAGACAAAATTGATTTCAAAACAAAGTAACAAGAGACAAGGACATTACGTAATGATAAAGCAGTCAGTCCAACAAGAGGATATAACCATTATAAATATCTATGCACCTAACATAGAAGCTCCTAAATATGTAAAACAAATACCAACAGAATTAAAGGGGGAAATATATTGCAACACATTTATTTTAGGAGACTTTAACACACCAGTCACATCAACAGATGAACCAGACAGAAAGTAAATAAGGAAACAGAGGCACTGAACAATATATGAGATCATATGGACTTAACAGGTATCTACAGAACACTCCACCCAAAAGCAGCAGGATACACGTTCTTCTCAAGTGTGTACATGAAACATTTTCCAGAATAAATCACATACTAGGCCACAAACAGAGCCTTGGTAAATTCAAAAAGATTGAAATTGTATCAAGCAACCTCTCAGACCACAATGGTATGAAACTAGAAATAAATTACAAAGAAAACAAAAAGCCTATAAACATGTGGAGCTAAACAACATGGCTTTAAATAATCAATGGATCGATGAACAGATTAAAACAGAAATCAAGCAACACATGAAGACAAATGAAAACAAAAAATCAACAGTTCAAAGTTTGTGGATGCCGCAAGTGGTCCTAAGAGGAAAGTACACAGCAATACAGGCTTACCTCAAGAAACAAGAACAATCTCAAGTAAGCAGTCTAAACTCACAACTAAAGAAACTAGAAAAAGAACAAATGAAACCCAAAGTTAGTAGGAAGGACATAATAAAGACCAGGACAGAGACAAATAAAATAGAGAAGAATAAAACAATAGAAAAAAAATCAATGAAAGTAAGAGTTGGCTCTTTGAGGAAAAAAAAAACAAAATAGATAAACACCTAGCCAGACTTATCAACACAAGAAGAGTACACAAATAAAATCAGAAACAAAGAAGGAATTTTCACAACAGATACCATAGAAATACAAAGAATTATTAGAGAATTCTATGAGAAATTATATGCCAATAAATTGGACAACCTAGAATAAATAGATAACTTTCTAAAAAAATACAACCTTCCAATATTAACCCAGGAAGAAACAGAAAATCTGAACAGACTGATTACGTGCAATGAAATTGAATTAGCAAACAAACTCCCAACAAAAGACAGGAACAGATGGCTTCAAAGATGAATCTACCAAACATTTAAAGAAGAGCTAATACCCTTCCTTTTTAAAGTATTCCAAAAGGTAAAAGAGGAGGTAATACTTCAAACTCATTCGATAAGGCTGGCATCACATTAACCAAAATCAGGCTAAGACACCACAAAGAAAGAAAATTTTAGACCAATATCCCTGATGAACATAGATGCAAATATCCTCAACAAAATATTAGCAAACTGAATCCAGAAATACATCAAAAAGATCACCTGTCATGATCAAGTGGGATTTATTTCAAAGATGCAAGGATGGTACAACACTCATACATCAATCAATATCATACAACAAATTAACAGGAAGGTTAAAAACTACATGATCATCTCAATAGATGCTGAAAAAGCATTTGACAAAATTTAACATCCATGCATGATTAAAACTCTTAACAAAATGGTTATATAGAGGGTACATACCTCAATATAATAAAGCCATATACGACAAACCCACAGCTAACATCATACTCAATGGCAAAAAGTTAAAAGCTTTTCCTCTAAAATGAAGAACAAGACAAGGATGTGCACTATCACCACTTTCATTCAACACACTACTGGAGGTCCTAGCTATGGCAATATGACAACAAAGAAATAAAAGGCATCCATATTGGTGAGGAAGTAGTGAAACTGTCACTGTTTGCACATACATACTGTACATAGAAAACCCTGAAAAATACACCAAAAAACTACTAGAAATAATAACTGAATTTAGCAAAGTTGCAGAATACAAAATAAATACACAGAAATTTGTATTCCTATATACTAACAATGAACTAGCAGAAAGAGAAATCAGGAAAACAATTCCATTTACGATTGCATCAAAAAGAAGAAAATATCTAGGAATAAACCCAACCAAGGAGGTGAAAGACCTACACCCTGAAAACTACAAGACACTCATGAGAGATATTAAAGACATGAATAAATGGAAATACATCCTGTGCTCATGGATAGGAAGAATTAATATTGTCAAAATGGCCATCCTGCCTAAAGCAATATACAGATTCAATTCAATCCCTGCCTAAAGCAATATACAGATACAATTCAATTCAATACCAACAGCATTCTTCAACAATCTAGAACAAATAGTTATAAAAATTCATATGGAAGCACAAAAGACCTGGAAGAGCCAAAGCAATCCTGAGAAAGAATAAAACTGGGGGGATTATACTCCCTGACTTCAAGCTCTACTACCAAACCACGGTAATCAAAACAATTTGGTACTGGCACAAGAACAGACCCATAGATCAATGGAACAGAATAGAGAGCCCAGATATAAACCCACACATATATGATCAATTGATATACAATAAAGAAGCTATGGATATACAATGGGAAAATGACACCTTCTCCAACAACTTGTGTTGGGAAAACTGGACAACTACCTGTAAGAGAATGAAACTGGATTACTGTCTAACACCATACACAAAAGTAAACTAGAGATGGATCAAAGACCTGAATGTCAGTCATGAAACCATAAAACCTCTAGAAGAAAACGTATGTAAAAATCTCTTGAATATAAACATGAGCAGTTTTTTCTGGAACACATCTCCTCAGGCAATGGAAACAAAATCAATAGTGAACAAGTGGGACTACATCAAACTAAAAAGCTTCAGCACAACAAAGTGATACTGGGGGTTCTTGTTTACGGAGTCAAAGAGTCAAAGAATGAACTTCTCAAATGCTCAAAGTAGGCAAGCAAGAAAGAAACTTTTTATTGATAGATGTAAAGATACAGAGCTCCCAGGTATATACTAGGAGGGGCAAGGCTGCCATTTATGGGCTAAGGTCTAGGGGTTTTATGCCTGTTGCATCAATGAGAGAGAGAAGCTGTTTTCTATAGATTCCCATCAGAATGGCAGCTATATTTTAGCCAATAATACTTGAGGTTATTTCTATTTTTAACTCGTATGCCTTGGTCAAGCTATGTGAGGTACATGACTTAACAGTCAGTAAAAATGGTTCTTTATCACAAAGGTTCAGTGAAAACCTTCTTATACATTGTTGCATTGTTTTGGCTGCAAGTCTCCTGTTTTTCACATTACCAAGGTCCTTAGTAAGCATCCCATTTGTCCTTCTCAGGGCCCTTATCCTGCTCTAACTGGACAGGGGCTGCTCCCATTCTTCCCTGTCTCAAAAGAACACCATCAACAGAACAAAAAGGCAACCTATAGTATGGGAGAATACATTCATAAACAACTCATCTGATAAGGGGTTAATATCCAAAATATATAAAGAACTCATATGCTTCAACACCCAAAAAAACAAATAACCCAATTAAAAAATGGGCAGAGGACCTGAACAGACATATCTCCAAAGAAGAAATACAGATGGCTAGCAGGCACATGAAAAGATCCTCCACATTGCTAACCATCAGGGAAATGCAAATCAAAACCACAGTGAGATTGACACCTCACACCAGGTAGAATGGCCAATATCCAAAAGACAAGAAATAACAAGTGCTGGAGAGGTACGAAGAAACGGAAACCCTCCTGCACTGTTGGTGGCAATGTAAATTGGTACAACCACTGTGGAAAGCAGTATGGGGGTCCCCAAAAAACTAAAAATGGAAATACCATTAGATCCAGTAATTCCACTTCTAGGAATAGATCCAAAGAAAACAAAACCCCCTGATTCGAAAAGAAATATGCATGCCTATGTTTACTGCCACATTATTTACAATAGTTAAGATATAGAAGCAACCAAAGTATCCATCAATAGATGAATGGATAAGGAAGATAGGGAACATATACACAATGGAATACTACTGAGCCATAAAAAAAGAAATCCTGCCATTTGCAAAAACATGGATGGAGCTAGAGGGTATTATACTCGGTGAAATAAGTAAGCCAAGTGGAAAAAGACAAATACCATATGATTTAACTTATCTGTAGAGTATAAAAAAGCAAAACAGAATGAACAAAACAACAGACTCACAGACAATGAAAAGTGACTAGTGGTTACTGTGTGGGAGGGGTTGGGGTGGGTGGATGGGGAGAATGAGGGGAATAAAGGGGCACAAAAACTCTCAATCATAATATAAGTTGGTCACATGGATAGCAGTACAACATGGAGAATATAGTCAATGATTCTGTAACATCTTTCCATGTTGACAAGAGAGTAACTGCACTACTGGGGGGTGAGGATTTAATACTATGGGTAACTGTTAAACCACTGTATTGTATATTTGAAACCAATATAAGATTGTATATCAATGATACTTCAATAAAAATTTAAAATTTATAATCTTAGCACTTTCCATTACTTAATAATACCCATTTTAAAAGATTAAAGTTAGAAAATCAAATCATACTTTTCTATTATATTTTTCCCAACATTTTAAAGATTTCAATCGTTCAGAATTGCAACACAAGTACAATAAATATACATACTTTACACCTAGATTGTTAAAGATGTTTTGTAACATTTGTTGTGTGTGTTTCACAATAACTCTTCAGTTATTTTGTACTCTGTCCTTAAATTTGGATTTTTCTGTTTGCATCATTGATTCAAGCTAAACATTTTTTGGCAGGAAAAGTGTGTAAGTATGTTGTATCCTTCTCAGTGTATCATCAGGAATCCTAGAGTAATTTGTCTCAATATTGAGGAAGTTAAATTTGATCATCTGGTTAAGATGACACCTACCGGATTTCTCCCTTGTAAAGATACTTTTTTCCCTTAGTAACAAATAAATGATCAGTGGAATAAAACTTCTGAGTCTGTGTTAATATCCTGTTCCCTAACAGCCTTTCACCCAATTTTACTCCATTTCATCTATAGTGGATGAAAAGTAGTAATTTTCTATTTATACTAATTCCCTCTACATTTAGTAGTTGACATCATTCTGCAAAAAGGACTTTATCCCAATTCAAAAGAATATTTATTGCTATGGATTCATGTTTCTTTTTTCAGTCAACGTATAAAAGCCATCGTTGTCATTATTCATTTGATGTTCAAATTCTCCCAATTTTAGACAGGGGGAATCCCTGCAAGCTGATCATCTGTTTTTGAGTACTTCATTATTTCCTAAGACAAAATATCCCAAACTTACTCTATAGTTTCCTAGGCCCTGTCCTGAAATCAGCCATTTCTCCAAGGAGCTCCAGTGGACAGCAGTGTTTACAAAATAAGAACTGGTGTTGGGTGTGCTCCCTATTATTGGGGTGTCGTTTCTAGGCTGTTTCATGGCAGAGTTAGGAAATGTACTGTTTAAAAAATCACCAGTTTACAGTGATTTTCCCAATTTCAATTCAACAAGAGTTCTTCCTTTCCTTCCCCATTCCTTATTTCTATCTCCATGCACCATATCAAGAGCTCAACAATACCAACATATGCTCAATCCTAAAATGCATGCAATTTTTTTGAAAATTGCTATACCAGCATCACAACCAACAAACAAAATTCAGGATCCTTTTGCAGTTCTTTTAATAATCACAATGCAGCCCACTGAAGGTCTATAGTCACAGTTCTATGTTCAAGTTACATAGATTAAATTTTTTTATCTGTGTGGTTATGTTAGCACTATGATGTACAGTAATTGTTTCTGTATTTAAGTTGTGCTTTTTGGCACCAAGCTTTGTTAATTTTAACCAAGTCAGATATGAGTGTTACACATCCTGTTGTTTACATTATTAAAGAGCTTCTTTATTTCTTGGCAGCCCACCTTTCCTAATTTTGCCTAATAAACCTGTTTTCCTTACTGTCCTCCAGCAATTTAAAATGAGCCCATGTGTCACTATGACCTTGAGTTTGTCAGTTACCTTCTCCAGGTCTCAACATTTTTCATCCATAATAATATCCAATGACTTATGATTAGAACAGAAGTAATCATCTTCCATAATGCTTATAAAACATCATTAGCTTCCTCTTCTGATTTCCACTGCCATTCCATTAAAAACTATTTATTAAAGATACAACACTTCTCATTTATCTCTACTCCCTTTGTTTAAACATTGTTTTTATTGGCTTCCTTACTTCATATCCTACTATATTCAAATTCCGTTTTTCAGATTCACTCTTTAGACATTATTCTTCTGAAAAGACTATTTCCAAGAGCTATCATATTACTCACTATCCTTAGTATTTCATCCATACTTAAATCTTACCTAAACAATAAACCTGCCCAAATGTACAGTGTTTGTATATACAACCATAAGAAATTTTAAGTTACCAAAAACAGAGTAAAATATCTAATAGTGTCCCCAGATTAAGAGGCTTTGGTCAGAAGTCCTAACAGTAAAATAAGTAATGTTTACCGGCATGATAAAAACTTTAAGATTTAAAGAAATAAATATAGATAGCTCTATATACATAAAATAGAGAAAGATTTTTCCATACCTGTAATCAGAAGATCAAATGCTTCTTGACTAACTTCTCCAAAATTTTTATTTTCACTATGTTCTGGGACAATAACCCCAGAACTGGAAGTCTTAGATGTTAACTGGTTGCTCCAATGTTTCCTTTTAGACAAGCCTTTAACCACCTATAATGGAAATATGTATATTAATCTCATTTATTTTGATTTAATGAACAAGAAAGCAAGGTGGTTCTGTCATTTATGTATTAAAAATAGAGCACTCATGTCTGTATCTTTTCGACATCTTTGGATCATTTAAAAGTTCACAGTTCAAAACTCTATCAAAATGTATAGTTGTATTTCAGGAATTTTATCTTCAGTAACTATTTTGTATTAGACTTGGGTCTAAGGCTTAGCCAAAATTATTTTTATTGTTTAAATAGTGTAGTCCCAAGGAGAGACAGTATTATCAGGCTAGATACTCTCATCCATGATTTCATCATTTACATACAAGGACAAATGAACGAATCTAACATTTTATTCTCTAAGAATCAAACATTACCTCTACAGGTTAATTCGGAACTTATATCTTCCCACTTCTATTACAAGTATTCATGCTAATTTTGAACTTCCTAAATCGAACAATTAGAACAAAAACCACTTCTGTAGGGAATACACAATTTTTATTCTTAAATTATTTCCAAATTTTAATGATTTAGGTATTTCTGGCCAAGGAAATCTTGGGAATGTTTTCAATAATATAAAGATAAGTATCCCATGTACCCCATTCTAGCCCGATAAAACATACCTCATTTTCTCTTCCAACAAGAGACCCAGCAACAGAAGGCTGAATCATCTTCAGAGTTCTTCTAGGGACAGGACTATTCTAAAAGTCAAGATCATTCGCCATACGGTTACTGAGTTGCTATGTGAATTATTACTCTCTTAGCCCTACTGTAATTTAGAAACTAAAAACACAAATATTTAGTCTGCTATCTAATTTTATAATGCTACATATGAACAAGATATTGATTTAATCTACTAGAAAACTTGTAATTTCCCTAAATGTAAACTTAAATTTGAGAAATTGGAAATTAGAAAAATTCTAAGAATGGAACATAACACCCAAATTTGACACCAACAAGTAGCTATTCTTCTACTTCAATATATGCTCTTGCTATAACCATTTTGATAATCAATTTGTCAACAAATACCTTGCTAAAAATACAACAAAATTTCTAAGCTCTAATACTGAAAATCATATGCAATGAAATTCCAGTACAACAGGAATATTTCTGTTCACTCTTAAAAAGATCTCCCACGCAGAAACTAGAAATTTACCAATCACAACATTTATGTTAGAAACCCACAAAAGAGGTAAATTGCAGGAAAAGGTTATTTACTTACAAGGTCAAGTCTTTCCTGCCCTAATCAAAAGGATACATCTCAGACTTCCTTAAAATCATGAATATTCCCTAACTCATTTATACGCACTCACCAAAGGGATATAATTTTGGAGAACATACTTCACACCAGATCAAACACATATGCAGCAGGATCCCCTCCCCACAACCTTTACCAGATTGTAGAAACAGTTTCGCTTCAAGTCCATTCATTAGACAGCTGTAAATGTCAGTACCTGAGTCATACTAAAATATTGTAAAATGCCCAAGCTATTGTTTTGGAAAAAATAATGTCTTCCTTGTAGTATGTAAATACCTTCCTGTTTTCCTGACCTGAAAGCTCTATTTTCACAAAAAATTATTAGTTATACTGCCACCATGGGATAGCAAACAATGGTGAATACTCAAACAATGTGAACAAGAACATGATACCAAAGCAGCGTGAGAAAGTTACTGCTTGTGCACTGTGCTTCACATAACAAGAGTTCACCTTTCCCACGGTAAGGTCTCTGCTGCTGATTATTATCTCACTATTTAACTGAAGAACAAATGCCAGCTACTGTGAGAACAAATATTACACCAACGTTTCAGATATAATTTAGATTATACATTAGTCAATAGCCTCCAGACCAACAGAGGAAAAAACATAACTTTGGTACCTTAATAATAAAAGGTGTTATTTATTCCAATGCTTTTCCTAATAATTATGGCCAGAGAAGCCAACTAAATTACTCTCACAAAAAAATGACAATTTCTAAGATCTTTAATACATGTAAGCTTTATAGCATCCAGCTCCAAAGATGAATGTTATTATTTTATTTATACAGATCATGCATTGGAATAATACTCTTTAGAGCCAAAAAGGATTTTCATATTATTTTTTAATGGGTCTTAATCTTTTCAGAACTAGTTGAGAGTCTGTGAACCTTCTCTCAAAAAAAAAAAAAAAATACACAGAAGAGCACACTCAGAGTTTGTAAATTGGCATGGGAACTGTGAGCTCTTAAAATTCACTTATAAATCTAGTTTTAGTCAACTTCTATGTTTTACAAGTAAACCAAGGCTGAGATAGTAAATAACTTACCCAATGTAGCAGTTTTGGACAGAGAACCAAACAGAACCCAGGTCTTTAATTTATATATATAAGATAGTTTTAGCCCAACTAGTAAACATTAGACTTATCTTTAAGTGTAAGGATCTGCTGAGATTATATAAATTGTCTGAGATTTGCCTCAAAATAATTAGGTGGGGGAAAGAGGGAGTGAATGGAGATGTAGATGCAACAAGATTAGCCATATACTGATTGGCTATAATTGTTAAAAATACAGAGATTAATTGAAATTATTATATATGGACCATAGTTTTAAATACTTGAACAATTTCATAATAAAAAGTTTAAACGCACACACAAAACATAGTGGGAAGTCATCTCTGTAAATGGAAGTTGATGGACTCAAGTTCACACATCATCAATGCAAAGTATTATTCAAGAAAAATAATGTGAGGATACTTAAAAAGGCAAGGTAAACAACACAACCTATCAAAAAGCACCTGCTATCACCAACCAAAGGTTTTTATTTACTTAACTTAAATCTGTAAACTGATAGTTTTCCTGAAGATGTAGTCTCATTTCCAAGAATCATCATCTAAGTTGTGATAGAACCTAAGTCGTAAATTCATTTAAAATATTAAGAGCAGCACCACTCAAAATTACAAATAAAATTAATCTGCCCTTATTGCTATACAAATAGATATTTGGGATAGGATTTCCAGTAACAGTATCATACAGGGATCCAAAAAGTGTGGCAAATAAGTAGGTTAGATGGTAGTGAGTATGATGTACTCTGGAAATACATGCAATATCATATAATGCAAAATGTCTCTGTGGTCAAAGACATTAATTCTGGAAATACAAAGGATTTTAATAAAATCATTTCATAAAATGTAAGAGAAGGAAAGCAATAATAATCTTATTTATGAAGTCCTAAGGAATCTACTAAAAAACTAATAGCTCTAATAAAAATAAGTTTAGCAAAATTGCAGAATACAAGATCAGAATACAAAAATCAATTGGATTTCTATACAGCAGCAAGAAGCACGCTGAAAATTTAATTAAGGAAACAATTCCATCTACAACAATTTTAAAAATACTTTAAAAATTTTAACAGAAAAGAAAATAAAACTCATACTCTGAAAACTACAAAACACTGTTGAAATTAAAGAAGACCTAAATAAATGGAAAGACATCCTAAATCCCATGATTGTAAATCAGAAGACTTAATATTCAACCATAACCAGTTTTGTAAATGTTCTCTATTGTCTTCTGGCTAAAAATTCAAAGTTTATAGAAACTATAGCAAGGTTAAATTCGGCTAAATTATGTCAAAATACTTTTAAGTACATGATTTCTAGAACAGATTAAAGTAATTCCATCACATACCTTTACATTCTCTTGGATTCCTTCTTGTTTCTGCTTCATACTGGGATTCATTGTACACCTGGTGAAACAAAAAAGACTGGTAATTCAAAAACACAATATGGCTTGCACCTGTAAGTGGAGTCTAGATTTTGTTGTTGAAGGCACTTACAATCATAAAATTTATATATATTACTGTATGGTGGAACTACTCTCTTTTCTCACTGTATATACCCAAACTCAGTCCTGTCAATGATTAAAGTGACTAAAGTTAGTGACTCTTGGTATCTGTATCTCATGCACACACACACACAATAATTCTGGTTGGAGAAATCTTGTTACAAAAGGAAAATTATGTATTCTAAACAAATTTACAAAACATGATGTCCTGGATTAAATACAGGTTCTCAAAGATGGGAGAACTGGTCACCCAGAAAAGCAAAACACAGATACTAGATACTTGGGTATGCCAAAGTCTATCCTAACTTTGCTGTTTCAAAGGCAGATTCGACTCTATAATCAACTTGGCTCTGGTAACCAACAATAACTTAATAATGACTTAATATCCCATCAAATGAGATTATGCACTGACATTTGTAGGGAATGTTTTACCACAACCATGAACCTGAGATACTGATGGAAGCAAGGAAGAGGGAACAGGAGATAAAAAGATATGTAACGTGGTCAACAAGACCACCAGGCCAGACTCATTCCAAACCCAAGGTCTGAACCCCCGGCCATGTCTTGTCTCCCACGCATATCTGAATTTTGTGGCCATGCCTTTATTCAGTGCAGCCGCCTCAAAACCTTGACTATGATCCACCTTACATGAATACATTTTACAGTGTCCTAATGTACACATACGCGAACAAAAAAGTTTAGGAAAAAAAAATGTATCTAATTATTTGATGCGCCCTATTTTCTATTCTGTTTCAGGTTACACAAATAACAGGTCGGGGCCCACTAAACTGAACCGGGGCAATGTTTTTCAAACTGCGGGTGGCGATCCGAGGTCCCGAAATTATTTAGTGGGGTCATGAACTGTTTAGAAAATGTAACTGAACGAATGGAGCTAGAGAGGATAAAACATAAAACTACACGGCGTCTGGGGAATAAGCACTGCGTCGTGAAACTTCTACTTCAATTAGATGACTGCGTCCTAAAATGTGCTTTTTAATACATCTCATTAAAAAAGCTGAACGCCCCTTACCAAGTGTAATCTTTCAACGTTTAACACATTCCTGTCAACAATCTTGAGCCCTTTTTACTTAGTTCTTTTAAACAACTAGAATAAGAACTGTAGTACAGCACTGGGTCCAAAAGCAATGCTGATACACAGGTGAAGCTAGTGTCACCAACACCGGCATCGTTTTCTAACGGCAGCAGGACTCGGCGCCCTTCTCCCACGGGCCCAGCTTGCGGACCCCTCGGCTTCAGCCAGTTAGTGGTCCAGAAATGGGCGTCCCACCTCATCCAGCCAGCCAGGCATGCCCATGCTTCCTCCCTCGGGCCAACCGGCTGCACACGGACGGGCCCGGACGCCGCCAGCTCGTCCTCCGGAAGCCAAGGCCCAGCGACCAGCAATGGGCGAGCGGGCGGGTGCGGCACGCCCGGGCCCTCCAACCGCTGCGCGCGCTTCGGGGGACGGCGCCTGCCAGCCAATACGGAGCGCGGACGCGAGTGCGCGCCAAAACCGACCCAACCAAAGGGGCAGCGCCTCACCTCCCTCCCCCGACCCAGCTCCCGAAGCCGCTCGACCACCCACTCACCCTTAGCGATGCAGCGGCCGCAGGAAAACGCGACTTCCGGCCGGCCGGAACGAAAGCAGGCTTGCCTAGAAGCCCCTGCGTACCCACCTCCTGCCACCTCCGTCACACTTACTGAATGGAAACCCCTAAGCCTCGTCGCAACGCAAGTAGCTGCGGCAGCAGAGCTGCACACAAGGCTCACACACTAGCCACGTTCGTCCCTTCAGCCGCCAGAGCGGCAGCGCGAACGGCTGTAAAAGCTTGCGAACTCAGTCTGCCGGGAGCGGCTCCGTGACCGACAAACGCAAGACAGGGGGTGGGGCCACCCGAACCCGGCAAATCGCCTCTCGCCTAGGCCCGCTTCGGCCCCGCCCCTTCCCGCGCCTGCGCGGAAGGGGTAGCCTGTAGTTTGCCAAGGACAAAGTCTCGGGCGTTCAGTCCCTACGCTCCGAGCTCTCCTGCTGGGTTCTTTTCTTGTATTTTTACCAGAGGCGGGAAGATACACTCCCACTAGACTTAAACACTGGGAGAACAAAATATTGTATATTTAGTACACGACTTTTTACATTTCTGTAAAGTCTTCATTCCGCGGACTCCTAATTGTATTAAAAGCTTTTATATTTCGGCTTTGTATTTTGACTGCTGTAGTTCGGCAGGAGTTCCGGGAAGACTTTATTCGACGATCAATGTAGTAATCCTGCAACTATTCCCTGGGCGCCTAAAACGTACCAAATACTGCTCTAGGCACTGAGAATACAGCTACCATTGAAACTGAAAGATCAAGGAAACCTTGTAAATACGTTTAGCTTTTTTAAATTATTACTTTGCTAAATTCTCAAATGACTTCTTTTTGGACATAGTACATTTGGGCTTAGTGGAGTCTTCTTAACCTTTTGTTTACATCTACCATAGATTTTAATACAAGTCTTTCTTCCCATTTAACTTTTCATGGAATTACCATTCTTAGAGGAAGGAAATACATACTAACTACACACAGCACTTCTACGAAATGCTTTCCGATCTATATACTTTGCAACCCACCTTCTGCCACCTTTCACTAGATTTCTTTTTTATTGCTCAGAATGTACCAAGTAGAGTTGTATGGTTATAGCTTTGCGGGAAATGTATAAAATCTAAATCCATAAAGGAAACAGCCCATTCATTGGAAAACTATCAGTAACACTGGGTTTTCAGAGTAAGAATTCTGCTGTCAAGGGGTCAATACAAGCATTAACTCATTTGCCTTAGAAACACCAGTCGGTCAAAATAGTAAATCTCACTACCATTTTCTTCAATCACCCACATGATAAACAGGGATCACTGAAAGAACCAAAACAGGTAAGTGTCTATTCAAAAACAAAGTTATGTTCAGGTAGTCTGTGCTAGGTAAAGTATAAATCAAAGTTCATAGTGGTATTTCCAGAACTAAAAATCTAGGAAAGAAAACGTCTTCGATACACAAATGGTAAGCAAACTAGGGGGGTGCAATCTAGAACTTAATCATTGTTAAAAAACTACAGGGGCAATAAGAGTTGGTGATTTTTCCAAATGTGTCATGAAGCCAACTTACCCAAATGTTATCTGTAGTGGCTGACAGCATTGGTTAGTTTTGCAGTGATGTGAGGAGATTTTTACATTTCAGTGTTGTTTAACTTATTTTTTTGGTATCATTAATCTATAATTACATGAGCAATATTATGGTTACTAGACTCCCCCCATCATCAAACCCTCACCAAATACCCCATTACAGTCACTGTGCATCAGCGTAGTGAGATGCTATAGAATCACTACCTGCTTCTCTGTGTTGTACAGCCCTCCCTGTGCCCACCCTACACTATGACTGCTAATCGTAATGCCCCTTTTCCCTCCTTGTCCCTCCCTTCCCACCCATCCTCCCCAGTCCCTTTCCCTTTCATAACTTTTTAGTCCCTTCATGGTTTCTGAGGGTCTGCTGCTGTTTTGTTCCTTCAGTTTTTTTCTTTGCTCTTATACTCCATATATGAGTGAAATCATTTGATACCTGTCTTTTCCTGCCTGGCTTATTTCACTAAGCATAATACCCTCTAGCGCCACCCATGTTGTTGAAAATGGTAGGATTTGTTTTCTTCTTATGTCTGAATAATATTCCATTGTGTATATGTACCACATCTTCATTATCCATCCATCTACTGATGGACACTTAGGTTGCTTCCATTTCTTGGCTATCATAAATAGTGCTGCGATAAACATAGGGGTGCATATGTCTTTTTCAAACTGGGCTGCTGCATTCTTGGGGTACATTCCTAGGAGTGGAATTCCTGGGTCAAATGGTATTTCTATTTTGACCATTTTGAAGAACCTCCATACTGCTTTCCACAATGGTTGAACTAATTTACATTCCCACCAGCAGTGTAGGAGGGTTCCCCTTTCTCCACAACCTCGCCAACATTTGTTGTTGTTTGTCTTTTTTGGATGGTAGCCATCCTGACTGGTGTGAGGTGATATCTCATTGTGGTTTTAATTTACATTTCTCTGATAACTAGCGATGTGGAGTACCTTTTCATGTTTCTGTTGGCCATCTGAATTTCTTCTTTGGAGAACTGTCTGTTCAGTTACTCTGCCCATTTTTTAATTGGATTATTTGCTTTTTGTTTGTTGAGGTGTGTGTGCTCTTTATACAAGCCTTTATTGGATCTGTCATTTATGAATATATTCTCCTTTCTTAAAGTTTCTTCCTCATCCTCATCCCCATCCAGTAAAAGGATGTACTTAGCAACAAAACAAAACAAAACAAAATCACCCCCAAAAGAACCCCAAAAACAAGAACAACAACAACAAAAGCACACCATATTAACATCCTAATGACTGGATGGTACCTACCAGGTGAGACTTTCTTCTCATATCTTTTAACTGAGCTCAGTGAAATAAGGCAGGCAGAGAAAGGCAAGTACCAAATGATTTCACTCATTTGTGGAGTATAAGAACAAAGAAAAAACTGAAGGAACCAAACAGCAGTAGAACCACAGAACCCAAGAATGGACTAACAGTTACCAAAGGGAAAGGAACTGAGAGAATGGGAGGGAAGGGAGGGATAAGGCCGGGGAAGAAGAAATGGGGCCTTATGATTAGCATGTGTAATATGGGGGGTTGGGAATGGGGGTTGCTGTGCAACACAGGGAAGACAAGTAGTGATTCTACAGCATCTTACTATGCTGATGGACAGTGACTGTAATGGGAGTTGTGGGGAGGGGACTTGGTGAAAGGGAGAGCCTTGTAAATATAATGTTCCTCATGTAATTGTAGATTAATGATACCAAAAAAAAAAAGATCACGTACAAAGGAAAGTCCATCAGGCTCACGTAAGAATTCTCAGCAGAAACCTTATAGGCCAGAAGGGAGTGGCATGATGTATTTAATGCAATGAAGCACAAGGGCCTCGAACCAAGATTACTTTATCTGGCAAGATTATCATTTAACTTTGAAGGAGTTCCTAAGGTTTAATAGCTGTCACTAGAGGGAATAAAACCACAGTAAAGAAACTAGAACAGCTAATTACTAAGCAAATGCAAAATTAAATTAACTATCCCCAAAATCAATCAAGGGATAGACAAAGAGCACAGAATATGATACCTTATATATAAAGAATGGAAGAGGAAGAAAAAGGAGAAAAAGAAAAGAACCTTAAGATTGTGTTTGCAATAGCATATTAAGTGAGTTAAGTTAGACACTTACATAGAAAGGAAGTTAACCTTGAACCTTACGTAACCACAAATCTGAAGTCTGTAATGGTAATAAGTATATACCTATCGATAATCATCCTAAATGTAAATGGACTGAATGCACCAATCAAAGACATAGAGTTAATGAATGGATAAAAAACAAGACCCATCTATATGCTGCCTACAAGAGACTCACTTTAAATCCAAAGACATGAACAGACTAAAAGTGAAGGGATGGAAAAAGTTATTTCATGCAACTAATAGAGAGAAAAAAAGCAGAAGTCGCAGTACTTGTATCAGACAAAACAAACTTCAAAACAAAGAAATTCACATGAGACATAAAAGGACATTACATAGTGATAAAGGGGTCAATCTATCAAGAAGATTTAACCATTATAAATATCTATGCTCCCAAAACAGGAGAACCTACAAATGTGAAACAAATCCTAACTGAATTAAAAGAGGAAATACAATGCAATGCATTCATTTTAGGAGACTTCAACACTCCACTCACTCCAAAGGACAGATCAACCAGACAGAAAGTAAGTAAGGACACAGAGGCACTGAACAACACATTAGAACAGATGGACCTAACAGACATCTACAGAACTCTACACCCAAAAGCAGCAGAATACACATTATTCTCAACTGCACATGGAACATTTTCAAGAATAGATCATATACTAGGCCACAAAAAGAGCCTCAGTAAATTCAAAAAGATTGAAATTGTACCAACCAGTTTCTCAGACCACAAGCCTATGAACCTAGAAATAAATTATGCAAAGAAAATGAAAAATCCCACAAACACATGGAGGCTTCACAGCATGCTCCTAAATAACCAATGAATCCATGACCAAATGAAAATAGTGATCAAGCAATATATGGAGACAAATGACAATAATACCAATACCACAAATTCTGTGGGATGCAGCGAAGGCCGTGCTAAGAGGAACGTATATTGCAATACAGACCCACCTCAGGAAACAATCCCATATGAACAGTCTAAACTCACAATTAATGAAACTAGAAAAACAAGAACAAATGAGGCCCAAAGTCAATAGAAGGAGGGACTTAATAAGATTAGAGCAGAAATAAATAAAATTGAGAAGACTAAAACAATAGAAAGAATCAATAAAAGCAAATAGATAAAATAGATAAACCCCTAGCCAGACTTATCAAGAAAAAAATGAGTCTATACACATAAACAGAATCAGAAATGAGAAAGGAAAAATCACCACAAACACCAGAGAAATACCAAGAATTATGAGAGAATACTATGAAAAATTATATGGTAACAAACTGGATAGCCTAGAAGAAATATACAAGTTTCTAGAAAAATACAACCTTCCAATGCTGACCAAGGAAGAAACAGAAAATCTGAACAGACCAATTACCAGCAATGAAATTGAATTGGTAATCAAAAAACTACCTAGGAAAAAAACTTCTGGACCAGATGGCTTCACTGCTGAATTTTATCAAACATTTAGTGAAGACCTAATGCCCATCCTCCTTACAGTTTTCCAAAGAGTAGAAGAAGAGGGAATACTTCCAAACTCATTCTATGAGGCCAGCATCACTCTAATACCAAAACCAGGCAAAGACAACACACA